AAAATGAATACCCAGAAACAAAACAAAAAATATATATAATAACACGATGGAAAGTTGACATGATGGTATATAATGAGTTCTCATTGGAGCAAATTAGCACATAAATTTCCAAAGAGAGTGCAGCACTAAAAGCATGCGTATGATGAAAGAGAAAGAGAAACTTACCTCGGATGGTTTAGAAGAGATAATACCAATATCAAATATAAGTACTTCATTCCTTTTCATAGATGTGCAAACAACCTATATGAACAAATTAGGCAAATCTTAATGTAAGAGCAAATCAATCCAGGAGAGATAATTAAGCCAATTTAAAACAAATCAACCTTGATTAAGGGTTTCTAAACTAACAGAACAACATACTACAAAATATAAAATACATTTGTTTTCAATTACACAGAATACGAGCATGTACACAGTGGTACTACCAACCCCATTGGTCATTCATATAAAATAGAATTAATAGCCTGAAATTATGCATGCTTAAGCATATCGGAAGGAAAAAAGAATAATCAGCCAGGTTCTATATCTATATAGTTCTTTGGAGTCACAACTGAGAAAAATGAAGCAGCCATATTGCCTTTACAATATCTATAACAATCGTATAAATTGTATTGAACTCAGACCTCATCTTGGTTAGCAAGATTCCACCGGACAAAGTCTAGTTGTTGAGGTAAAGAAAGGTGCACCACATGTTTTGTTTCATCTTCCTGCAAGCCTAGCAGGAAAAGACGGGTTAAAAAGCCAAATAAAAATTGTTTTAATGAGCAAAAGAGCCAAGCCTTACTTTACAAGCATGCTTATATAAATTCCATGAGCACTATAACTTTACAAATTAAAATGGTCTTGTTTTTCTTCCTTCATTAAACATTCAGTATAAGCTCAAGGTTTGGCCTGTGTAAATAGAAGAGGTGAACAGCTATAACATCAGTAGCCAAAGTTATGCCCAGGAAAACCTCAAACATGTACGAATGTAAAGGTTTGCACATTAAAATTGTATCCATTAGTTTTGTGCAATGTTATACAAGTTTAGCAGACGATATATGCATCACTCTTGCAATAAACTTGGAAATTATGAACTGATAAAATATATGCCAAAACAAGGAATAACAAGCTGTAGTGAAGGAACTTACGTAGCAAAGGTTCATTACTCTGGCAATAAAGAGTTTCAAAATCATGCACTGTTAGACACCCCGATTTTGTCACAGATACCAGGTATATTCCCTAATATATAGGGGAACAGAGGAAATGTAAATACAAGAAAAGGAAGTGAAAAGAAAAAGCAACACACACACACACGCACACAACATACAAAATAAAACCAAACTAGCAATTGCAACTCGGAATGTATTTACCTTTCTGTCAAAATCAAGTGCAGATATCCCTTGCCTGAAAAAAAATCTGATTGAGCAATCTTTTCTACTACATATGAAACACACAAACAAAAACACAGACACAGACACAGACACACACACACACGTGCATATATATATATATATATATATATATATATGTATGAGGATAATTACTGACTTTCCAATTGACGGTTGGTCGTACAAAAATGCGCCATTGTCGATCCAATTCAACTACAAAATTAAAATCCCACAAACAAAAAATCAAAATTTCTGGGAAAAAAAAAATATAAAGAAGAAGTAAAGATGATAACAAACAGGGTTTGTAAAATTGCATACATGGGTTTGACACGGTCCACCATTGATGTGGTACAAATGCGGAAATGCCCTCAGCTATATCAAACAGAAAATATATAAATCAATCAAGCAAGGTACTTGTAATGTGTAGCTAACTAATTGGTAAACTCAGTAATGGCAAAACGAATTAATGGGGCACCTCAGAATAGGATTCCATGAGCAACCCAGAGACGGAATGGCGGTAATTGGGATGGAACCTTCCGTTCAATTCGATCAGGCTTCGACTCCATCTGTGCCCAAAACAACAAAGCCCTCAATTTCAAATTGACAATAAAGCATAGAAATTGAGAAGGGTTATCGATTTGCATTTACCTTGGAGGGGGTTTGCTGGGGTTTTGAGACGAGGGCTTCTGAGGAACTAGGTACTTGTCCATCAGAGTGTTCAGAGTGAGAATTAAGGTTTGAGTTTTGGAGCTTAAAGGTCCTTTTTTTTTTTTTTTTTTTTGGTGTGGGTTTGCTGTTCCCGCCATTTCGTCTTGTGTGTCACAGTGTATGCTAATTGCGCGCGCTCTCTAATAGGTCGGGTTGCGGGATCGGATCAACCAAATTCATACCCGGGTGGGCATTTTTTTAATATCAAAGACAATTGGTATCAAGTTTATTGTTATTAAGAATTCCTGATGATTAATTATTCCAAAAAAAAAAAAAAACAAATCATGATGATTAAGGGTAAAAGTTATTTTTTCTTTTAGTTTTGTTGGCATTTTATTTTTCTTGATATCATACGAACTCAGGGTTAATATATTGATATCCTCTTTTTTTTTATATTCTTTTTATTCTAATGAATGAGGGAGATTCAAACTTGAGACATCTTTCGACTTTGTAACGAGAAATACTATCAGACTAAAAGTAACTTAGCACATTCAGATTTTCTTTTGATATTATATATTGCTAAATGTCAATAATGTCTAACCATTCCACTAACGGTTTATTTTATGAGATAATTGAAACAAACACCATCCATTTAATGTACTGAGTATGTAGTTGCTCATTTGTTTGGCCTGAAATGTTTACCTATTTTATGCAATTATCATTTAAAAAATAAAGACTGTTAATAGAAAAATGCTTCTAAAACTTTGGTAAAAAACTTGGCATAATCCAAAAGGCCAAATCTCCATGCCTGGTTACACCAACAGTACATATTCTAAAAACATTTGAGCTAAAACCAATAAACATTTGTATGAAATGACTGTTTAATAAAGGAAATTGAAACTCTGTGTGTATATTTTGGTCTCATTACACATCATTGTTGAATTTGCTAACTACCATATGCTCCTCCTTTGTTTGTACCATGACTTTTGAACTATCATATGCTTTATGCTTTCTGATTCTCCTTCTACAGCTGCCATTTTCCACCAAAAACTATTGTGTGGTCAGCCAATGGTAATAATCCAGAGCAAAAAGGATTCAAAATTAAGCTCACTGCAGATGGACAGTTTAGGCTCAATGAGGCTGCAACAGGCAAACAAATATGAGTTGCTGATTCTGCAGGTACTAGAGTTGCCTATGCAGCCATGCTTGACACAGCCAACTGACACAATCTTGCCTACGCAGACTCTAAATCAAGAAGCCATACTCTTCGATATAAGGAAACAAATTACTCAAGAGGGAGATTCCATCTTACCTTGCAACATGATGGGAATTTCGTGCTTCACACGACAAATTTCCCATTGGATGCTCCTAATTCTGCTTATTGGTCAACTGAAACATTTGATGGTAGCTCTCAGGTCATCTTCAACCAATCTGGCTCTATTTACCTTAGGGCCGGGAATGGGACAATAATTATGATGGTGATGTCCAATACAATTTCAATGCAGGACTTCTACAAGAGAGCAACTCTTGAGTATGATGGAGTTTTTAGATACTATGTGTACCCTAAAAGTACCCGCTCAACTGTGGGAAGGTGGTCCATGGCTTGGTCTACTTTGTCCCATGTGCCTTCAAATATCTGCACCTCACTCGTGGAATATACAGGCGGCGATGCATGTGGATTCAACAGCTTATGTAGACATGATGATGAAGGAACAAGTTGCCAGTGTCCATATGGTTACAGCTATTCTGATCCAAATGATGTGTTGAAAGGATGCAAACAGGACTTTGTCTCACAAAGTTGTGATGAAGCCTCACTAGAAACAGATTCTTTTTATTTTCAAGAGATGCAGAACACAGATTGACCTTATTCTGCGTATGATGAGGATTGGTGCAGGCAGAGTTGCCTGAGTGATTGTTTCTGCGCCGTTGCCATTTTCAGGAAAAATGAGTGCTGGAAGAAGATATTTCCACTTTCAAACGGGGTGATTGATCCCAGTGTTGGTGGAAAAGCTCTGATCAAAATGAGGAAAGACAATTCTACTTTAACACCTGGGGGCACAGATTCAGAAAAGAAAAATACTTCAACTTTGATCCTCATTGGAGCGCTCTTGAGTAGCTTGGTGTTTACGAACTGTCATAATAAGTAATGTATAAAATTATCTAGAGAATTTAGTACATTTCAATACATGTAATTAGTATATATTGAAGGAAACAGAATTGAATGAGCCTTAGCTAATAAAGGTGTTTAAGATATGTACTGTTGTGGAGTATTCTTACTATGTCTTATTGTTTTAGGACAGCTTCATGGAGGATGTCAAGATGAATTTAATTTCTAAGCAAGAATGGGTACATATGTAATAAAACAAAAATTGCTCACAGAATGTTTGCAAAAATAATCCAAAGTTTGAAAAGCTTCAAACTAAACTAGACCATTTCCTTCTGTGGGTCAAGTATTTGTTCTCATTATATATTCCTGTCTCTGTTTACTGACAGTAAAGTTTACGTTTCCGTATGCTTCTACTTACCCCTAAGATCAGTTCAATTCAAAGATTGTGTCTTGGTTTTTTCGTAGGCAAACTAATCGAAAGTACTAAAAAAAACATATATAAAACAAGCTTTGACACCTCAGACAAAGCAATAGAAACAAGGCTGATTGGATGAAAAAGGCTAAATGCTTTTAATAAGGGCAATAGATAATGTTCTCTAGAAGCCAATTGCAAATTGCAATCCTACTGCAGATGATTAAATTTTTTTTTTTGGCCGGCCTTCAATTAAGAGACAGTGCAAGAAAATAGAGACTTGTACTGCTTAGTCAATGTCAACGGTACTGAAAACTAATTGAATAACAAAAGAAATTCATGAGAAGCTGCAGTCCTAGTACTACTGAACAAAATAGGCTTCTAACTAAAATGGATTGACGATACTCCTTCACTGAATAACAATGGCAATATATATAGAAATGTAGATATGCTTCTTGGTACCATGGCTTTTGAACTAGCATATGCTTTCTGCTTTCTGCTTATGCAGCTGCCATTTTCAACCATTGCTCAAACAGATGGCAAGAATATATCATTGGGCTCATCCCTTACTGCACTGGACAATAAGTCTTTCTGGGCCTCACCATCTGGGGAATTTGCTTTTGGTTTCCAAGAAATTGGTAAATATGGCTTCTTACTTGCCATCTGGTTTAACAAAGTACCTGAAAGAACTATTGTCTGGTCTGCCAATGGCGATAATCTAGTGCAAAAAGGATCCACAGTTGAACTCACAAGTGCTGGGCAGTTTAGGCTCAATGATATTGCAACAGGCAAACAAATCTGGGTGGCTTCTTCTTATGGTACTGGAGTTGTCTATGCAGCCATGCTTGACACAGGAAACTTCGTGCTGGCCAACCGAAACTCAATCCATTTGTGGGCGAGTTTTGATCAGCCAACTGATACAATCCTACCCACACAGACTCTTAGTCAAAACAGCAGACTTTTCGCTCGCTACACGGCATCAAATTACTCAAGAGGAAGATTCCAGCTTACCTTAGAATCTGATGGGAATCTCAGGTTTTACACAACACTATTCCCATTGGATTCAATTAACTCTCCTTACTGGTCAACCAACATTAAGGACAGTGGCGTTGAGCTGATGTTCAACCAGTCTGGCTCCATTTACCTTACAGCCAGTAACGGAAGCATACTTACAATGGTATCAGACAAAATAGTTTCAATGCAAGATTTCTACCAGAGAGCAACTCTTGACTATGACGGAGTTTTCAGGCACTATGTGCACCCTAAAAGCACTGGCTCAAGTGTCGGGTCATGGAACATGGCTTGGTCCACCTTGTCCTCCAAACCTAAAGATTTATGCATGAGTATTTTTCAAGATAAAGGCGTTGGCGCATGCGGGTTCAACAGCATATGTACACAGGACCAAGGACCAATTTGCCAATGTCCATATGGTTATACCGATATGGATCCAGCTGATGTGTGGAAAGGATGCAAACCGAACTTTGTTCCACAAAGCTGTGGTGAGGCCTCATCATCAGAAGCACATCTTTTTTATTTTGCAGAGATGCAAAATACGAATTGGCCTGTGACTGAATACAACTATTTTCAGCCGGCAACTGAGGATTGGTGCAGGCAGGCTTGCCTAGCTGACTGTTTCTGTGCCGTTGCCAATTACAGAGACGGGCAGTGTTGGCTGAAAGGAAGCCCACTTTTCAATGGGAGGATTGAACCCGGTAGCGGAATAAAAGCTCTGATCAAGGTAAGGAATGAAAGTTCAACCTTGATATCTGGTGACAGAGATTCGAAAAAGAAAGACAATTCAACATTGATCCTTGTTGGATCACTTCTCTTGAGTAGCTCGGGGTTTCTTAACGTCCTCTTACTGCTAATAACCTATCTGCTTGTTTCTCGCATGTATTGTGGAAAAGCAAAGGTTATTCAACCTTACCTGGCCATGAACTTGAAATATTTCACTTATGAAGAGCTAGAAGAAGCTACCAATGGATTCAAGGAAGAACTAGGCCGTGGTGCTTTTGCAACAGTTTTTAAAGGAGTTTTAAAGTCGTCTGATAATGGGAAATATGTTGCTGTCAAAAGATTGGACAATATGGTTAAAGACAATGAGTTGGAATTCAAAGCTGAAATTAGCTCAATTGGCAAAACAAATCACAAAAATTTGGTCCAACTACTAGGATTTTGCAACGAGGGGCAGCACCGAATTCTTGTATATGAGTTTATGAGCAACGGATCTTTAGCGGGCTTCCTTTTTGGAGAGTCAATGCCAAATTGGTACAAAAGAAGGCAAATTGCCTTGGGAATTGCAAGAGGGCTCTTGTATTTACATGAAGACTGCAGCAGCCAAATCGTACATTGTGACATTAAGCCTCAAAACATTCTTCTAGATGACTCTATCGGTGCAAGAATATCTGACTTTGGATTGGCCAAGCTTTTGAAAATGGACCAGACTCACACCACTACTAGAATCAGGGGAACTAAAGGGTATGTGGCCCCTGAATGGTTTAAAAACTTGCCCATCACGCTGAAGGTGGATGTTTACAGCTATGGCATTTTGCTACTGGAGATTCTTTGCTGCAGGAGGAACTTTGAACAACAGGCAGAGGATGAAGATCAAATGATACTAGCTGATTGGGCATATGATTGCTACGAGCAAAAGAAACTGCATCTACTATTCAAGAATGATAACGAGGCAATGGAAGACATGAAGACGATGGAGAAGTATGTGATGATCGCAATATGGTGCATTCAGGAGGATCCATCACTGAGACCGACAACGAAGAAACTCACACTAATGCTTGAAGGAACTGTTGAAGTCTCAATTCCACCAAATCCGTCCTCATTTACAAGTTCAATAATGTAAGTAGTCTGTATTTTGGATCACCAGGGCCCCAAGCCATAAACTTAGTGAATCTCAGGTAGCATTGCATCTTCTTCTACTCATTGTGACATCTTAAACCATATGTATTCAATGGACACTGAATATGTATTCAATGGTATCAATTTTCTGTCAAAATAAACACATTTATTGACACTGCAGTAAATTATGCATTTTCAATTGAACCACCGTCAACAACTTGCATGGATTGAATAACAAAAAGGGTCACAAGTGTTGAAGAATATAAGTTGAAATGTTCAATTGACGTGCAGCAACATAAAAGCAAAAGTCTAAACATGTTTTGAACATTTGGGCATATTAATTGGCTCCTATCTAGAACTATAAGGTTCAAAATTACAAAAACATATTCAATATCAATTTTAGTCAATCAAGCCAAGACACTGTCTACTTAACCTCTCAGGTATTAACAAAATTGTGTAATAACTCACAAGCAAAGGCTATCTTCAAGGATGAAACATCTGATGCAATTGACTAAAATAAGCATACACTGTTATATTCCTATTTAGATCGGTGTACTAGATATTAAGTTATATCAGGGTTGATAGGAGTTTAAATTAGGTTATACCTTAGGGCCCAAGATTTTGTGAAATAAGGAAAGTTTTGAAGCCAATTAAAGAGGTCCTATTTATTTCCTTTTCCGTGAACCGTTGCTTGATGGGCTTATAGTCTTAGTCAAGTTGGCATTCGGTGATGAGTAGAGACGACTTGACATAGCCCTATATAAGCTTAAGATCCTGCTCTTGTCAGATATGTTCTCTAACCCTAATATCATCATAAAGAGAGAGCTGAAACAGTTTCTGAGAGATAGCATAAGTCTTAAGTCATTCGTGTCTTTTGCTCGTGCTGCTGCTGCTACGATTGGATGAATTCTGAGATTGTGTCTCAAGGAAGATGATGACAAGTATGTCTTTTATGTATTTCAAGTTGTGTGAAAGATCATGAACAAATATACAGAAAATCTAACATAGACTACAAATATCAAACCAACTAAGTTAGCCATAGAACCTTCAAGATTTCTGCTTTACATTTTTCCAATTCCAAAACCCATGTGATGGGGATCGAGGTCAGGATGCAGGTCACTAACCACATATAAGAGTACCGAAATCTAGGGCTAGTGCAAACTCGCATATATCGTAGCAAATCCATGTCACAAATAAACTATTTCATTAACCATCAACATCAACTCCCCTATAACTATTACATTAGCCTTATTTATAGGCTTTGCAAGACTTGGGCGCTAAGGCTACTTGGTCCAAAAGTAAACTAATTAATAATAAAATTACATATAAATAATAAAAGATATCCTAAAACTACCTAAATAAGAAAATAACAATATATCATGAAATAACTAATTAAATGGTGAACAAGACTTAGTTCTATTTCCCAAACCCTAGCCGCTCTCTCCCTCTGATCTGTGAGTCCAAAAGGAAAATTCCATAGAGGGGGGAGGAGGAAGAAGCGTCACTGCCCCTGTTCCTCCTCTTCTCTTCTTGTCTTTTCCTGTTAGGTTAATGAATAAGTCCACTAGGGCGATTTGAATAAAAAGCATCTTGTTGTGGTTTCTTCTAAGCCATGGTTAGATTGAAGTTCCCCATCACTCCTTTTAGGCTATGTTCTCAATCAAATCCTACTCCCAAAAACCGCTCCCTAACGCTGCTCATGTTCTTTAAATTTGATTTTACATCATCTTTTGAAACGACCTGACCCAATTTCCACTTTGGAAACCTAGTCGAAACCTGTTTAAAACTGACACCTAGTAAACGTGGGTCGTAAATGACCAAAATGCCCTGAAAACAAAAGCATAACTGAGGGACTCTGATTCGTGGCTGCACCTGATAACTGTAGGCTGCCTACGTACCCTTTCTGAGGGATCAAGCCACACGTAGTTCTTTCTTTTATTCCTGATCTGTAACTGGTTTGTTTATCTGTAACTGGTTTATTTATCTGTTAAACTCGCTCTAGGGCTGACCATTCTGGAGTATCAGGGACTCCGTTTTACGATCCGTCAAATACTATACGATCCTGGGAAAGTCTAGATTAACATACTTGGAATCAACTATGATCCAACGGTTCAAACGTATTGAAACCCGGAAATCGCACAGTAGGCGAGATCCGTTCGGGGTTCAAACGATATCCGAATTAAGAGCTGCAAAATCCTACGCACTCGTGAGGACTAGGAGATCATTCTAGGACTGACTGTGGTCCCAACCCTACAACCCATGCGCCACCACACGCGCTGGCAACTCGTGGTGCCTAAAGCGATAACGCCTCGCTGGAAAAACTCAACATCTAGGCTCAAGACTCCTATCCTAGGTATAACACCCCATTTGGAGCCATTTTTGTTCTTGGACCTGCCCCAAAAACTGGCCGGAAGTGGCCGAAACAGTGACCCAAAAACCTGCTGAAACCTAGCTCGTAAATCGAGCTATCTACGCTGGAAATTTCTGAAATACTATCCCACCAGCAGCTAGAGCATGAAAAATAGCTAAGAAATCCATACCTCACTCGTCCGATTTGGTGGCCGGACGACGGAGAACGAAAGCTTGGAATTTCGGTCAAAAACTGTCCAGCACCGCCTGTTTCGCGGCTGTTTCCGGCGACTATGACGGCGGATCGAGGCTGGGATAGGCTGAGACTGAAAGAGGGGAGTAAGGTGGTTCGTTTGGCACCGGTCTTGCTTGAATTGGTGCTCGGAGTTGAGAGAAATCCTCTCCTAAAGTCGGCTGGTCGAGTTCTCTAACTGCAGAAAAATCTGGGTTTATAAAAACTGGAGTTCGAGATATTTACGGTTATGCCACTAAACTTCTTTTGATCGTAACTCCTTCGTTACAACTCCGATTCGAGTCCACTATGTGTCTACGGACTCGTTTCGTCGCGCTCTACGCAAAGGTACAACTGAAATCCCCAAATTCCTTTCCGATCAAAAAGTCAACTTTTATACTAGTAAAATATTCTAGGGGTATAGTGGTCTTTTATTAGAATAAATTAATAATTAAATATTAATTAAGGACCGGGTTATTACAATCTACCCTCCTTACAAAAATTTCGTCCTCGAAATTTTACTTACCCTTCACTGGAGGGGTGAGGGTACTGGGCATACGACTGCTATTTGGGTTCTCAAGTCTGCTCTTTTAGTACTGCACTCACCACTTGCATCTCAATAACTGTAGCTATAAGGCAATCAATAAAATCTGAGGGCCACACATTTATATTTGAATACCTGAGGTGGCTTAAGAAAATATAAAACTCTGGAAAGATATGCTAATTAACTGAATTTCTGATAAACTTAAAACTCTGCTGCCTTTAATCTGATAATCAGCTAAAAACCCCTTTTTCCCCCTGAGTATCTAACACCTGGCTAATGTTGGGCACAAAAGACTAATTTGCCCTTCTTAACTAAAATTATCTGAAATTCAAGTGTGACTTCTACCGAAAATTCGGCAGCATCTCCCCTGTAAACTGAACATTTCCCAAAATCATTCTGCCTGTAAAACAAATATATATTTATATAACTCATCTGCAAGCATGCATTAAATCATATCCAAGCAATCAAGCATCATAATATTCTGGCCTCAGGCCACAACAATGCAAATAAAATCAATTTGCTCACAAGTAATATTCAGGTCTCAGGTCGTAACAAATCAAATAAATCAATCTACTAATCAATCTCATTTTTCCTATATCCAAACAGGATATCATACTCGGCAGCATATAGATCAAATATTTAAAAGCACTTATCAATTTATCAATCACTAATATGTGAATAAAACTTATTCAAGATCAAATACTGCAACTGAATTTCATAAATTCATTTATGAAAACAAACTATGCTGCCATTAATCTAATATTTAGCTAGAATTTCCTTTTTCTGTATCCACAAAGGATATCCCACTTGGCAGCATATAATTTAAACGAAGAAATAAAAGCATTTATATCAAGTAATCATGCTTTCAAAACCATAACCATCAATTCCTCGTGACACCAAAGGTGACACGTCCTGACCTGAAATTATCGCTGGACTCAGGATACATCTGGTCAACCTGGTCCGCAATCCTCGCTCCCACGGTTTGGATAACTCTGAGACTTGTGGGGCAAAATATGCTAGAAAAACTTAAGATATTTAATACTATATAAAACAATGAAAGATAAAGATGAATAAACATACCAAAGTAAAATGGGATGAAATAAAATAAGTTAAAAATCTATAAGTTCCGAAAACCCTTAAACTCTTGCATCGAAACTTACCTAAAACATATATATATAAATATATATCCAACTTTCTCTCGTGACATAAGTATATAGATTAAGAAAATAATAGTACTGTATAAAATCCTCAATTTAGTTTTAAAAACATCTCAGAACTTAAATCCTCTCCACCTAAGCGTACCCCCATATCTGATCCGTCAATTCCTTATATCCGTCAATTCCTTATATTTCGTCAATTCCTGATATCCGTCAATTCCATCTTCGCAAGCCTCGGAAACACAAAGTTAACAGAGCCGCGTCCCCGCAGGTCTCAGAGATAACACTTCAATCTGAGCCGCAATCCTCGCAGGTCTCGGAGACACCAAGTCCATCCGAGCCGCATTCCTCGCAGGTCTCAGGGGACCCTTAGTCAGCCTGAGCCGCAATCCTTGCACCACACGATTCAGGCGTCCCCGAACTCGTGGGGCAAAATAACCAACTGTCTCACGGCAACTGGGGGGTACCCTGTGGTGGGTTTGAAAACTATACTCTGTTATTTACATAAACTTTCAATAAACTGATTCTCACAAAAGTTATAATTCTTTCTTCTCAACCACTGAATATATGTATCAAATACTTAGCTAGCTGGTTAGCCATATCGGTCCCTGATTAACATATCAATCCAAAATCATACTTATAATCTTACAACACCATTAACCAAATGAACAAATATAAAAATGTAATAATATGTTTTTCATATAAAAACCTCAACAAATTTT